TAAATGTTTGCTTTCACCATTTTCGTTGTTATAAATTGATTAGGAAAATATCCCATGTTGGGAGAGGTAGCCCTCCGTGGGCCCTGAGCACCCCTGCACAGTCTGGATAACTATGCCAAAAATGTAAGGCTCTGATATTCTTTACCTGAGCCAGCTCTCAGACTTCTATTTGCAGCAAACAACCTTAAGGGATGAGGTAATGTCTCCCCTTAGACAAATATTAGGCTTGCTTTCAGTTGCTATAAAAGTCATATGAGGACTGACAATCATGTTTGCAAACTCATCCTAGAAAAAGTGCTACATACGGCATTGCTGAATATCACTACTGTCACCTTCGAAGCACTCTCCTTGGGAAGCTCTACAACAACAACAGCACTTAGTCCGCCCTTCAAGGCTATTTTGGAACTTATTTTCTGGAATGGCCATCAGAGTTGTCGTCATATTACCCTTGAGGTCCTGAATGTCATCAAAATGTCTTCCTTTCAATATTTCCTTTATCTTCAGGTAAAACAACAAGTCATTGGGGGCCAGTTCAGGTGAGTAGTGAGGGTATTCCAATACAGCTATTTGTTTACTTTCTAAAAACTCCCTCACAGACAGTGCCATGTGAGCTGGTGCATTGTCGTGATGCAAGACCCACGAATTTTGGTGAGAAGTTCTAGTTGTTGTTATCTAATTTTTCATGCAGCCCTTCACACTTCCAAATAGTAAATGGTTAACTGCTTGTCCAGTTCGTACAAATTCATAATGAATAAACCCTCTGATATCAAAAATGGTTAGCAACATCATTTTGACTCTTGATTTGGGCTGACAGAACTGTTTTTGTTGTGGAGAATTGGCTGACTTCCACTGTGCACTTTGACACAATGTTTCAGGGTTGTATTGGTACACCCATGTTTCAGCACTAGTGATAGCAAGGCCCCAAAAACATCATCTTGCCTCTCCAAAAGGTCTTGGCAAACTATGACTCTCCTTTGCTTTTGTTTATCAGTGAGCGCCTTCAGAACCATTTTTGTACAGACCTTTCTCATGCCAAGATTTTCAGTTAAAACTTTCCTTACTGTTTCTCTATCAATGTTTTCTTGGTCTGGTATGCTTCTCACAATCAACTGACAATTTTGATGCACAATTTGATGAATTTTTGCAATGTTTTTGTCAGCTCAGCTCATTACTGGCGGCCCTGACCTCTCTTCATCAGTGACACATTCTCTTCCCTAAGAAAAACATTTAATCCATTTGTACACTTTCGTTTCTTCACAGCGTTATCCCCATAAACTTGAACTAACATGTTCCATGATTTCACTTCCACTCTTACCAAGTTAAGCAAGAAATTTAATGTTGGTTCCTTGCTCTAATTCAAGCTCAGATATTCTTGCATAGCACACAAAAATATGCAACAACAATAATGAATGCCACTCAACAGCACCCTGCCACACGTTACCATGAAGACAGCTTTGAAACACTGATACACAACGTTCATGAAACCTTACCGAGCTGTTTGTACAGTGTTGCCAATGTAAGCACATTTTGGCAAGTTCGCGACCTTAATTGTCAGATCACATAGATGCTCTACATTCAGTTTCCCCTCCTTATTTCAACGTACTGCATGAGCAGACAGCCATGGAAGCCCAACTTTGTCATCTAATGGGGTTTGTTGGCTTGGAGAAAGAATGCAAATGAAAAAGAAGCACATGCCATTTGCTGTAATAAACTGTCCTTTGTCTCTGACCCAGGAGTCTCATGTCTTCTGGCAGTCTCCATGAAACAGAAACAAGCTTACTGGTCAGCTTGCAAGCATGGAATAACCCCTGGCACCTGAAAAAATCTCACCTCGAATCCTTCACTTCCCTGTATATAGCCACACATTTTACAATGTGACTTTTCATCATCTCCCATGAGGAGGTGGAGCCCATAGCACCATCCTTTGATCCTATGCTGGCCTTTTGGTTTGCTTTGGTCAACAAACTGTGGTATAAATGATGAGGTGATGATCCTACGCCTAGACTCAAGAGACATTGCAGGATGGTCTCAATCTCTTAGAAACTTGCTTCTGCCATGTGAAGAGCCTGAGATACCCATGCATGAGAGAGAGAGAGAACGAGAGAGAGAGAGAGATTGAGAAAGAATAGCCACGAAACAAAGTTCGTTTGTCCTAGCTGGGACCTTCCTAGGTCATCATGCAGCTAGCCAAACCCCAATCATGTGAAAAAACTGAGCCCAGACAAGCAAAGTTGCCTACCTGACCCACAGCTGATCACATGAGTGACCGCCATCCCCACCCAGAAGACCCAGCCAAACCACTGTTGGCAATAATAAACCCTTATTGTTTTGAAGTGGTTTGTTACTCAGCAATAACTACTGTGCAACATTCATCATCATCACCATCAACTGTGCCTCAGGATTCCAAGGCTTCTGTGAGGAAAGCATAGAAACTAATGCCTTTGAGCATCTACTATATGCCAAACACATGACTTCGTTATGTCATCTTGACCACCTGACAAAATTGAGAGGGTTTTTCTAATTTACAGCTGATGTAACAGAGACTCAGGAAAAAAACAAAAAAACAATGATCACAAAGCCACCCAGAAGAGCCAGAATTCCAGACAACAGGTCTCTGAGCAACCGTCACACCAAGGCTCGAGCTGGGCCCCTGGGTTCAAGAGACTCACGTGCATGATATTCACACTGTTATTGAAAATCTTCAAATAGGGCTTCAGTATGTTAAAGTGGAAGGCAGGTGTGAGCATCCGTCGATGGCCGCTCCACTTGTCACCAGCACTCAACAGGAGCCCATCCCCTAGTAGAGGCAGCCACAGGGAGTATGTAAGGGCAGCGCCTTCCCCTGGCCCCTCAATGGTGTCCCCAAACCCCCTTCACCCGTAGTAACTCACCCAGCCAAGGCTTCAGAAAGCTGTAGACGACACTGTCCTTGGGTGCAATGGAGGCTGAGATGAATGAGGACCATCAGAGGCCATGGAGAGGGAGACAGGAAGAACTTTCAGTGGGCGAGGTGGCTCCCA